AATTCTCCAATTAAATCCCTAAACTTTTCAATCTTTCAAAATTAGACCTCAAAGTTTCAAAACTTTCATTTTAGTCACTAGACCTGATTTTGGGATGTTACAATCTTTTAGTTTCAATTAAAATTTACTTGGGATTCGATAAGATTAAACGGTTTTCTAACGAGTTTGAATCAAATGAAATAAAGAGGAGGAGGAGAAGAATAATAGTTTTGTGATATTTTTTTATCAAAGAAACTGTCGAACAATGACATAAACAATAATGAAATGAATTGACAATCTAATAGAAAGTTAAAACTTTTAGATTGATCAATGTTAATTTTCAGGTCTACTTGAAATTAAATTATGTTAATCTTTTGGCTAAATAAAACCTTTACACTGTTAAAATTAATCGACAATGCTTTGTTAAAAAAAATCAACTTTTTATAATGACTGCCATTTTAGAAAAATAGGATTTTTGAGCAAGGACATTTCATCCGTCGATCAAATTGTTCATTTTTATTCTCTTATATTTTCCTTAGGTCATGGGTTATAGACCCAAGCATTCTTTTCCCTTCCCTTGGAGTTCCTCATTCCCGTCCCCTCTAAGTAAGATTAAAATTAGAATTAAGATTTATAAATAAAAAATTAAGATTTTCTTAAGAAGACTCCACGCCAGCATCTAATGACAACTAACGAAATTAATTGTAATAAAGACAAATTAAAAGTTTAATAGCTGTAATACAAAATTCAAAATTTTTAACAACAAAAATCAAAGTATCCTAAAAGTTTAGTACCTTCTTTTCATTAGAAAGAAAGATTTTGGTTAATTGGGCACTGAAATTAATGACAGAAACAGTTGAACAACAACCAGTCTATTTGTGGAGGGGTCAGGAAATACATATTAATATACGGTTAATATACGGCGTTACCGGATACATTAAAAGATATTTAACAAATTCGATTTAGCTCTACCTATTATGATGACAGGCTAATAATGTTGTAGGTAGAAAATATGAAAAACTATTAAAAATTTGGTAACCGGTAAACTTTGGTTATCGGTAAGTATCGATACATATATATAAGTGTCTATACTTATTTCACTGTGAAAAAAATTAATTTAAGGTTATCTTTTAAGTGAGTTTTAAGATATTAATTTAGTAATTATATGTGTCTAATGATTTATTTTTATGTTACTATATATATTATTTTTAAATTAAAAATAATAAACATAGATATTACATATTTATTATTATCTTTGGTTAAAATTGTTAAATTTAAATTTTAAATAATATTTTATAAAATATCTAAACAATCCAATAATTTTTTGTGTAAATAAAATTATTAAATTAATATTATAGGTGGAAAACATGAAGCACTATTAAAAATTTTTGAAACATAAATTACATAACTTTCAACAAAGTATCAATACATATACAAAAAGTATTAATACTTTCAACATATCTGGTAGCTCTTTACCGATTTTGTCATAATGAAACAAGTTTTGTCATATTTTTACATGTTATATTGTAAAGTATCGATACATGTACAAAAAATATTGACACTTTCAACATATTAGGTAGCTTTTTACCTGGTTTTGTCATATTTTTACATGTTATATTGTAAAGTATCGATACATTTTTACAAAAAGTATTGACATTTTCAACATAGCATGTAGTTCTTTACCGGTTTTGTCATAATGAAACTGATTTTGTCATATTTTTACTGTTATATTGTAAAGTATTAATACATTTTTTTTACAAAAAGTATCGATACTTTCAACATATTAGGTAGCTCCTTACCGGTTTTGTCATAATGAATCTGGTTTTGTCATATTTTTACATGTTATATTGTAAAGTATCGATACTTTCAACATATTAGGTAGCTCTTTACCGGTTTTGTCATAATGAAACTGATTTTGTTATATTTTTACCTGTTATATTGTGAAGTATCAATACATTTTTATAAAGTATCGATACTTCCAACATATCTAGTAGATCTTTACCGGTTGTCATATTTTTATCTGTTGTGTTGTAAAGTATCGATACATTTTTATAAAGTATCGATACTTTCAACATATCCAATAGCTCTTTACCGGTTTTGTCATAATGAAACTGGTTTTGTCATATTTTTATCTGTTATATTGTTATGTATCGATACATTTTTATAAAGTATCGATACTTTATAGGCGCGATTACTGCTTTTCTTTTAAATTCTAAAAGTGTCGATACTTATTTAAATTGAATCGATACTTTCAACATATCTGGTAGGTAGTTTAATGTAATAGGTAACACTATTTTTTTTACCGTTTACATTATTAACAACCTTAAAAAAATCCGGTAGGTATTTTAATGTAATAGGTAGCACTATTTTTTTACCGTTTACATTATTAGCAAACTTCAAAAAACCGTTAGGTATTTTAATGTAATAGGTAGAGTCTATTTTTTTACCGTTTACATTATTAACAACCTTAAAAAAAATCGGTAGATATTTTAATGTTATAGGTAGTTTAAATTTTGTTAACATTTATTCCTAAGGCAAGTTTATCATAACTGATAACAAATTAAGTAATTACCTATTTTGTTACATAAGCACTACATAATATGTTATTGTGCTTGATAATGTTTCCAGTAATTAACCGGTTATGTTATCCTTGGTAATTTTTTAGGCGTTTACCTAATATGTTGTAATAACAAATTAAATAATTAACCTATTTTATTATATAAGTGCTACCTATTACATTATATAAGCGTACCTAATATGTTATTGTGCTTGATAATGTTTCCAATAATTAACCGACTATGTTATCCTTGGTAACATTTTAGGCGTTTACCTAATATGTTGTAATAACAAATTAAGTAATTAACCTATTTTATTATATAAACGCTACTTATTACATTATAAAAGAGCTACCTAATATGTTATTGTATTTGATAATATTTCCGGTTAAATGATATAACATAACCGGACTACATTTTAACCGGTTACTTGTTTAACCAGTCACGCCGTTTTTTAACCGCTGTACAGTAGAACTTCCCATTTGTGGATGGGGCTGTTGTTTCGGTAAAAAAATGAATCAAATAAGTAATCATACGGTTGTTTGAATAAATTTTATATTAAAAACCTCAAATAAATAATTATTTAAATAAATAGGGCCCTTCAAGAATTATTTAGAAGAATAACGCTCAAATCGTCTACATAGAATGACCTCGCTTCCTGTAAATATCGTTTTAAATCCTCGCACCTTTCAACACGCGAGATACGTCCGACGTGTGCAGGCTTTCCTAGGTAAGCCAATAAAAGAATTGGATAAAATGACCTCGCGCATTGCGAAGCGCGAGATAGCCTAAAAACCAAAATATTACGAGATTTATAAAAGATCTCGCAGCCTGCAACGCGCGAGGATCTTTCAAATTGAAATTAATAATAAATAAATATAATAATAATTAATAATATTGATTATTAAATATAATAATAAATAAATATAATTAAAATATATATTTTATAAATTTTGAAATAATGAAAAATTATGTGTATAATATATTAAATATAACAAATAATTAATAATGTTATAATTATAATATATTTTGAAATTTATAAGACAAGTTGATATTAATTTTTTGAAAACAACAATCTCACGCCTTTCAAACCGCGAGGTACTAACGAAAAAAATATATTTTGATTTTTTTAATTTTTAAGTATAAACGCGTAATGCTGTAATCTATCTTTAAAGTAAGTATAATATCATCATATATGAGACATTTTAAGTTTGGTAAAAATGACATTGAAAATGGTTAAAAATCATGGTTTTGTGAAATAAGAAAAAATGGTTTGATAAATATTGGAGTGTTATTTCTGACTTGTAAATAGGAGTGATTTCAGAATTTATATGCTTAGAGATATAGTATTACAACTTATATTTATGTTGAGGCTAATTTGGTCACATATGAGATATTTTAATGAGGTAAAAATCATGTTGGAAAAAGTTGAAATGCATGATTTGGTGCATGAAGAAATCAAAAGAATTTGAAAACCAAGTAATATTTGTTGTTAATTAAAAAAGAAATAATACAAAAATCTCATTTAATTGATACGTGGACCTGAGCGCTTGGGACATTTGTTCTTCGTGTGTCCGGGATTCCTACATATAAAGCATAATTCGGTTGTCTGCTTCTTTCTTGATGTTCGACCAAATCCTCGTCACAAAAAATCAGGGTTGACCATGGACGACTGGATTTTTTTCGTCGTAGTGTATAATCTAGCCGTATAGTAGGTTCATCATCATCTTCATGCGGATCCCATTCATTTCCATTTGGAGGGAACTAGTATTCATCTGAATCCAGCTCACTTCCAGAGTCGGAGCCACTGGACTCGGTTTCCATTTCCTCTCCTGAATAATCAAGTTTTTTCCCATTTGACAATTTATTCTTTAGCTTGGAAGTTGATTTCTGATTCAAATTAGGAGGCCACTGCATATTCATTGGATATGGAAGTGGCACAGGCTGCATAGGATGAAAGGGATATCCTTGATACTGGGATAGCTGGCCTTGAAAATTATACATATGCTGAGGCATCTGATATAGCCATTGCATTGAAACTTGAGTTTTTGAGGTAGTTGATGATGGTGTCTGAACTGATGCAGGCAAATTCTCATATGAATGTACATCAAAGGAACCAAATATTATCTATTGGAATATAAAAAAAATCAAATTTAGTGCAAATAAGAGATGATACGCTTGGCATCTTAGCATGTTTTAAGAAGCATGGATTCTGATCCAAAAGTATATTTTACATTAAGTTAAGTTCGAGAGGACTTATGGATGCCTATCCAATATGTCAAGCAAGAAGTAAGACTATATCCGAAGTGGCAATCAAGTAAATGTTTTGCATTTACACAGACAAGAGAAGGTGATTCAACAGGAACGGTAATGATAATGATAATGAGATGTATTCTTTAAGTATGATTGTTAAGAATCTGTAACGAAAAGGCAAGGAAAAGCTATAAGCCTCTGAAATACCTTTCTTGGAATCCACAGCTCCTGCACGTGTCTGATGTTGATCCTGCTGAAGATTCATTTGAAGTGTGATCATTAGAGATGCTAATTCCATTTGTAAGCACAATGCCAGATGTTCCCAACACTGGCAGTTCTGATGGTGAGCATGCCTCAACTGCAGCTAATTCTTCCATCCAAAGACGGTCCCACATGCTTTTTCTTGCATAATTCCTTGAAATTAATGCATGCTTCCCTAAAAATAATCAATGCTCAAGTATAAGACCCTAAGAAGGCTGAATGTCAGGCAAAAGGGACAAAATTATGGGTTTACGTGGAACTCATTTATGATAGCTAAAACAACTTTAGTGCATCTGAAGCTACTTCAAAGAAATTTTCAGCCTTCAGGTGCAGAAAACGAGTTCAGCATGAACAGATGAAGATGTAACTTCAATTTCTAGTTAGTGGTAAAAGTAGAAGAATATGAAGTCAACTATTAAAGCAGGGTTCTATTCAAATACTGTCATTTGATTTAATGAATTTAAAACACTTTCTTGTTTACCCATTGTTGTATTTGATTATGCTTTCAAAAATAAAAACTATCCCATAATACTTGTAGTTAATGTTTCTTACCTTAACCTGGATGCTCCAAATGCATCTGCAAACGAGATAAGATGTTCCATATTTTCCATTGCAAACCCAGCAACCAGCCCACGAGTATAAGTCATTGCGTGTTCTTTCCATAGCAGGGCTTTTCGAGTTTCCAGTAGCCGTTGAAGTTGAACCCTAGTCACAAAAATGACTGAATGAATCAAATCAACGGCATCCAATGAACTAGGAGTATGAATTAGTATGACCAATGTTAGGCCATTTAAGGATAAAATAAGTTACTTGGAGTTCTCTTCCTGTTTAATCTCATCTTTTATCTTGAGTTCTCCCATCACATGGTGACAAACGAACATAAAAGAACACTATAAAACTCTTTAAAAAACGTAAGATGTGAATTTCTGAGGAAAAAAAAAGATTGCACTTAGTCTTGTGAATTATTCAAAAAAAAGTAAAAGGAATACCTTTGTCAAATCAGTTGATTTCTTTGTATGACCATTTGCATCTGACCATATGAGAGAAAAAATCAATTAGGAGATACCTAGCAGATATTTGAAACTAAACTGAGTCTGTTATGCAATTTTTATTTTGAACCAACAAAGACATTTGAGCAAAATGGAAACTTTTGGTAGCAAAAATTGAAGTCATCGAGCATACCTTCCTCATGCCTCCCACTGGCATTAGCTAACTCATTAGCCAGAATAGATCTCTCAATTTGCAAGATTTCTGTTTCTATGGTGACAAACCTTTCAAGAACTGCTGGTGTGCTAACAAAGCGCACAAATCTGCAAAATAAACAAAAAATAAATTTAGTAAAAATGCTTTTCAGACTGTTCCCTTTTAAAGTTTGCACCCCCTTATGAACTAACATATTAGAATCCGCCATCAGATTGCTCTGCTGGGAAGAATTATCAGAATCCAAGAAATGCAAGGACTAAATGCTTGAATTCCCAGAAGATTAGCCAACACTTGAGTTTTGTAGATAAATTAGCATCAGAATTGATTTTTGTTCATAGAAAGAGACCCAAGACTAAATGCGCAGATAATAATTATGGGACATACAGAGAAATCAGATTAATAAACTATGCAACTCATTTCAAATAAAATTCCAATTCAAATGAATCAGTAGCAAATTACCTCTCAAAAGTAGCTTTGGTGAACCAGGATGAGCCAGGAGCAGGTGGCTGCAAATTAATCGAATACCCACATTTTGAAATCTGATCTCTTGCAAATTTGAGATGACAAATGAAGGATTCAAAAAGCCCAGAAGCCAATTTCTCATTTTCCCCTTGTAGAAGAGTACCAGATCAAATCTTCAACAACAGCAAAAAAACACAGTTCAGTTCAGTCATTTCATTAAAAGAAACTGCAAATATAAAATCGTAGCTTACCTAGTTCGAGTTGGAGTGAGTTGAAATAAAGCATGATCAAAAATAGTAGTTGAGTCCATTGATTGAGAACTCAAACAAAAAGCATGGTAACGATATTCTTGAAGTAAAATCCAAGCTTTGGGTTTGGTTTTGGTGTTTATTGGGGAAGTGTTGGGAAAAGCGTAAAGCTTAAAGTGAAGAGTTAATGGAAGTGCTGGTCACAATCTCGAAGATGTAGATTTTGTTTGAAAAAGATGACGAACAACCGTAAATGAACGTGAATGAAAGAGAAAGCTAAGAGAGAGAGGTGGATCGAAAGGGGATTGTCTTAGGAAAGTCAGGTTAATATACGATTAATATATAGTGTTATAGATACATTATAATATATTTAATAAATTTAGTTTAGTATATCTGAAATATCGAGTAATAACAATGTTGTAGGTGGAAATCATGAAGAAAATATTAAAAAATTTGGAAACCGGCAAACTTAGTTTGTCGGTTTGTGTCGATACAAATTAAAAATGTATCGATCCATAGCAATATAACAGGTAAAAATATGATAAAACCGGTAAAGCGCTACTGGATATATTGAAAGTGTCGATAAATTAATATAAGTATCGACACTTTTGTAATTTAAAAGAGAAGAAGTTATATCGCTTAAAAGGTGTCGATACTTTATAAAAATGTGGCAATCATAGTAATATAACAGTAATAATATGACAAAACAGGTCTCGAAATGATAAAACCGGTAAAAAGCTACTGGATATATTGAAAGTGTCGATAAATTAATATAAGTATCGACACTTTTGTAATTTAAAAGAGAAGAAGTTATAGCGCCTGAAAAGTGTCGATACTTTATACAAATGTATCGATCCATAGTAATATATCCGGTAATAATATGACAAAAGATGTCTCGAAATGATAAAGCCGGTAAAAAGATACCGGATATATTGAAAGTGTCGATAAATTAATATAAGTATCGACACTTTCGTAATTTAAAAGAGAAGAAATTATAGCGCCTAAAAAGTGTCGATACTTTAAGAAAATGTATCGATCCATAACAATATAATAGGTAAAAATATGATAAAACCGGTATCGAAATGACAAAACCGGTAAACGCTATCGGTTATGTTGAAAGTGTCGGTACTTTAATAAGTACGCGTAAACAAGTATCGATACTTTAAGAGAAATAGGTAAATATCCTCTCGAAAGTATCGACACTTCACATAAAAGTATCGACACTTATGTAATTGTATCGATTAAATATAAATAACATATCCGGTGTAAATATAAAGGCATAGCTAAATTTCCTCTGAAAATAGATAGAATTTTTGAAATCGAAACATAATTGTTGCTGCATTTCAGAAGGCGTTTCTACGTTGAAGTTTGTTTTGTTTGTTGCTGCATTTCAAATCGAAAGATACGTTGTTGAAACTCTAGTTTTTTATTATTACAGTAATTAGGGTTTTTATGTGTTGTTGTTTGGGGTTTTCGAAGTAAAGAAGCATTTGGGATCGATTACATGTAGAAAGTGATCTTCTAGGTAGATGATAAATATCGATATTTTTATTTAATATTATAGGTAGAAAATGATATTATAAGTTGTATAAATGTGCCGATACTTTGAGTATTGAGTGTTCCCATTCGTTTGAAGGAAATAGGGAGGTTTTGGGACCGATTATTATATAATATTATAGGTAGAAAATAAATATGGATACCTGTATATAATATTATAGGTAGAAAATGATATTTGAGGTTTGTATAAATGTGCCGATACTTGTTGTAGTGGCCATTCAAATTCTATTGAAGACCAACCGTTTTACCACAAGTGTAGTTATCGATTTTTGTATACAAGTATTTGATTTGATTTGCGTAAACTGATATATGAAGGAAAAAATGAAGTCAATGGGTGGAAAGCAACCAAAGGGTGGATATATGTACTTCTAGTAAGTATCAATTTATTTTTGTTATTATTGTTGAAATGGTAATTGGATTAAAGTATTTAGGAACTTTAAATTGATTACAAATTTTAAATGTTGACAGTATGGACGAATGCAAAAGGATGAAGGAAGATGACACACACAGAGGTTCGGTATGTAAAATGAAATTGACATTGAGTATTATTTAACGTTAATGTATTGATTAAGAAACGTTTATGCTTAATATTAGGTGAAAAAAGATGTGAGGTCGAAATGGAATTCGATGAGTGATGCTCAAAAGGAACCTTACATCACACTGTCAAGGAATGATAGTAAAGAATACAAAGAACGGAGGAAAGCACATGAAAAGAAGGTATTCATTAAACTTGTAAATACGTTGATACAAGATATATAAGAACAATAACATTATATATTGTTAAAAAATGTAGGATGCGTCGACAAGGTGCAGCATAAAAATGGTGTATTCATTAATTGAACACCTTAAAAGAATGATCAGTTGAATGTGCTGAGTGAAATGAGATTTGGATCATTGATAGGAGTAAAGGATCGACCAATTCGGAGGGAATTGTGTCGATCCTTGATGGAGTAATTTGATGTCAAACAATGTATTGCTAAATATGTCGATTATTCATTCCCTCTGGGGGTATCGACTGCTGCAGCCGTCTTGGGGTACAAAACAAAGGCAAAAGTGTCCATAATGTGTCCATAATGTGTTTTCAAACAAAACAAGTTCACAAATAAGTGTCGACACATTTATATCAAGTATCGATCCCAAAAACATCGAAACCCGTAACTATAATGTAATAGGTCACTTTACAATGTAACCGGTTTAAATTTACCGGTTTTATGAGAAAATAGGTCTACAATTTGTGTTGATACTTTATTCATTTGTGTCGATACATGTTGTCCAGAATGTATTTCCAAACCAAGTGCACGAAAAAAGTGTCGATACATTTATAAAAAGTATCGATCCCAAAAACATCGAAATCCGTAATTATAATGTAATAGGTAAAATAACAATGTAACCGGTCTAAGTATACCGGTTTATGAGAAAAGAGGTATTCATAAAGTATCGACACTTTATAAATTTGTACTGATACTTTGTGTCCATAATGTGTTTTCTAAACAAAACAAGTTCACAAATAAGTGTCGACACATTTATATCAAGTGTCAATCCCAAAAACATCGAAACCCGTAACTATAATGTAATAGGTCACTTTACAATGTAAGCGGTTTAAATTTACCGTTTTTATGAGAAAATAGGTCTACAATATGTGTCGACACTTTATTCATTTATGTCGATACATGTTGTCCAGAATGTATTTCCAAACCAAGTGCACGAACAAAGTGTCGATACATTTATAAAAAGTGTTGATCCTACAAACATCGAAACACATAATTATAATGTAATCGGTAACATAACAATGTAACCGGTCTAAATATACTGGTTATTTAAAAAAAGGTATACATAATGTATCGATACTTTATACATTTGTGTCGACACTTTATGTCCATAATAAATTTTCCAAACAAGTTCACGAAAAAGTGTCGATACATTTAAAAAAGTGTCGATCCTAAAAACATCGAAACCCGCAATTATAATGTAATATGTCACTTTACAATGTAACCGGTTTAAATTTACCGGTTTTATGAGAAAATAGGTCTACAGAATGTATCGACACTTTTTAAATTAGTGTCGATACTTTTGAAAATTACGCGTGTTTTTTTCTTATATATACAAAACCCAAAACGAAAAACCCTAAAGGTAGATAACTCTTCTACTCCGACGGTGATGACCTTCAAATAGAGCCCCATCGTATCAAGATTAAAGAAAATCGAAAGCGACCAGTAAGTATCAATGTATTCATGTAATTGTTCTTGAAATGGTAATTGGATTCAAGTGTTTAAGATCTTTTAATTCATTACAAATTTCAAATCTCTACAGTTTGACTGAATGCAAAATGATAAAGGAAGCTCATAATCATGTTGACTGCATAGCCAATA